TGGATTGCTTTACAGTGTATAATATAAAACTACTGGGATATCAAACAATACCTTGCTAGTTAGAGCTGAGCTATTCAAAGTTCACTGGTGGTTGACTGTGACAAATGTTTTATACCATACTTATGTCAATGCCTAATATTTTGGGCAGGATCACAAGCTAAAACAAGAAGACAGTAATATTAAACTAAATTCATTATTTTGGAGGTAAAATGAATATACTCATGATCAGTAAAACTGTCACACATATTGAAAAACAAGGAAAAACACATGGAAAAACAACTGACAGCAGGACAAAAATATTCTTGAATGTGAAAGCATGAGTTTGTACATTGCATTTTAAACCCAATTTATATATATATATATATATATATATATATATATATATATATACATAAGGTTCCAGTAGTGTTTTAATTGAAGAATGGTCCACTTGCATTGTTTACAGGTCAGCTTGATGGGACGTTTTTGTTGAACTATGCTGGTAAAGTGAAATGAATGATTAATTCATGACTAAATAGATGCTATAGCTACAAGCTCTCACAGAATTTAACACTTCCCATTTAAACTTGCCAGTTAAGTGTATAGGTGTATGTACTTGTTTTGTGTTCAATGTGGATTTTTATATTGTTTAATTTATTGTACAGTATTACTACTTTTGATGATTGCATTCCATGTACAAATCTCAGGAAAAAAAAGAGCAGGTATATATTTTGTGACATCTAACAGCTGGCAAATATTAAAGCATCTGATACTTAAATGTTACTTAAGGACAGCTGGAGTGACTCTTTTGGATACCAAAACTGAATGAAATGGCTAACATTAAGAATAAACTGCACCTTTACTGGGAAAGCTCTCAAAATAAAAGCATTTTAACAGCAGTTGTTGTTGTTGTTTGTAGAACCTTTTTATATTTTCTTATTATATATTTCTTATATACTTATATATTATGGTTACAAAATGTCTTATTTTATGGTAACAAAATTATTTACATTGTTTTAATAACGTCCTTTTTATGGCAGTTTAAAACCCCAATATTTATATTAGTTATTTTATATATCGATTATAATATTGTTTACTATTGATTTCAAACAAGGTGTTTCGTTCGTGAGCCCATTCAAAGCATAATAAGAACATCTCTAGAATCTTGGTTCATTTACTTAACTGATTCATTTACAGTAGCCTATTTCATTCACTGAAGCACGTGACTGTTTTCCCACCTCCAAAAGACTGACAAGCGCAAGCAAATAGTATTCTAGTGTTGGCTGTGAGTGCGCATGAACCTTTTGGGACGTCACGGAACAAGCGAGCAAAATATAATAAAAGTCACATGCTAGCACCTGACTAAATAATAAAAAAGCTATATGTGCTGTTTGATGGAGAAGGGTCTGGCTGCAGCCTCGCACTTGCACTCTCAGACGTGCATTCTCAGGCTTGCATTCTCAGACACTTGCGCTTCCGCTAGCAACGTCACTAAGCCTGAGAGTGCAAGTGCAAGGCTGCAGCTAGACCCTCTTGGAGAGATGCTTTGATTTGAGTGAGTGAATAATGATTCAATGATTCACTCATAATAAGTTTACTTGTCACCACCTACTGGCGTAATGATGCATAACTTGCATAAATTAATCTTTTTGGTGAACTGATTCAAAAGTATCGAGTCACTAAGACGAATCAAAATCCCTGACAAGTAATAAACACGCCTGTGTGGCCTTCTTATTTTAGAAATGGAAGGATATGGCCATTTTAAAATGGCGGTATAAAATCATTTTCTGGACACTTACGAAGCATCCTAGAGAAACTGGGGAATACTTGCAAAGGCCTGATGCCATTTAGGAGTCAAACTGTCCTTCCAGATCCTGTCAGTTTGGATAAACATGAAGGGCTTTTGATCACTCAAAGTGAAGGTAAGCAACAGAATAGCTCTTCTTCATAATTTAAATGTCTAAATATTTCCTGATTACACCAGCTGTGTGTGTGTAACTCAAAATGACGAGGTAGAAGATATCACTTGAGTATATTGATATGAAATAAGCAGTAAATATAAGAACAGGAACAGACAGTAAATAAGAACTGCTGCTACAACCTGCTACGCACAGTACATACAATGTAGTAGCGTAGTTCATGCTGTTGTGGATGTTGTTTTGCTATTTACAGATTTCAGTGCTGTGTGTGACAAGTCTCAAGACATCTAATGTTATTTCAGTGATGTCTGTAAGGTGTTAGGAATATTATCTTCTGTGCGCTATTACATAAAACTGCCTGTAGCATTTTTTTTTTATCAAGTAGAGTGTGCTAAAGCCTCTGAGTCTGGCCATATTGTCCTTTGGGTTGAGATGTGGTGATGGTGGTCCTTGACATCTGGGTAGTTGACATAACATTTCAGCCGTGTCAGTATTGTGACATGCTACAGTATACTTCATCTAATACTGTTTCAAAACATTTTTATCATATTTTAACATTTTCATTTTAATTTCTGTATGTCATACATGCAGTTTTTATGGCCTGATACCACAGAAGTATTTACATACAAATAATCATTTTTTAATAAAAAAGAAAAATGCATCTTGAATGTTAATGAAAGTTAATTGACATTTGTCATAAACAACCTTTTATTTGTCAGTAAACTATATACAAAATATAAGCAGATGCTCTAAAAAAGTTTTAGAAACACTGTTCGCATGGATGTACTGTAGTAAGCCAAGGTGTATTTCCCCAAGTTCAACAGAAGTGGGAGCCCTTGCTTGAGGAACCCCCCAGCTGTAATGGTTTCGCTAGTTTAGCTGCATGATCATTTCCATGGCATTTATACTGGAAGGCATGTAAACAGAATGGTTTTGCTGCAAAGTTTCAGTTGTTGTATTTTCTGATACATTCAATAATTGCCTTATTTATAAAATTCAAGTACTAAGTAGGCTACACAACGAACACACAACCTTAAATTGTCTTAATCTCACGTTTTAGTCCTGGTGAGTGTTTAAGGTATCATTTAGATTGGTTTGATCTCTGTCTCTAAGGTTTGTCCTGAAATAGGTGTCTGTGTTTGCGTCAGTTAGGGCATGTGTATTTGTGCTTAGCTGGGTATCAAAGCAGGGTCAAAGTGCAGTGTCCAGCTGGCCCTGTCCATGAGGGATCATTTCTATTTGTGTTCTATTTGTGCCAGCACTGATAATCCAAACCTCACATGCACAAGTAGGGTACAACATGTCCCCCTGGCAGTTTTTAAACAGTTTTTCAGTAGCTTTCGAATAAGTGGAATGATAGTATTTGCATAAAAAAAGCCCAGTTTTTACTCCTGTAAAAATCACTGTTAGGTACAGTGGGCAGAAGAAGGGAATGCAGAATGCCTGTACCATAATAAATGAGTGGGTGAATTTGTTGTGTAGGATGTGTAAAGTAGGCCTGCTTGGACTGTTCTAATCACAATGGACATTAATTTGTGAAATATGATTGTGCTGACAATAGTACTTCAATATACACAAAAACAAAAAGGTGTTAATGTGAATTTGTCCAGTAGGGGCCATAAGTAAATGAATAACACACACAATTTCCTTTTTGTACAATGAGAACCTCTGACTGCAATAATAGACTGTTAGGCTATTTATTTATTTTTTAGTAAGGGCTGGCAGTGCACATCTTGTCCTGGGCCTCCTCCCCTCTGTCACAGCGAATGAGAGACGCCTGCCTTACACCCACTAACCTGGAAAATATTTCCCACCTTTTCCATGAGTAGATTCTTCTCATTAGAGAATGAAAGGTGAACAGCACAGGAAAAGGACATTTAGTACCTACTTAAATCACAGATATTTATAGCCACTGTAATTATTTTAATGAAACAGGTCTAATTTATACATGATGTCATATTTATTAATATATGACATTCTTTAGACAAACATGTTGCTATGACAACTGCACATGACTACAGCAAGAATCTACTATCCCTGCTTATTTGGTCCAAAAACACACAATAAATTCATAAGCTTGAGGAAAATTGTAAATGCACTGATTGTAAAGTCTATGAAGAGAAAAATAGCTGTATTACAAAAAAATCAAGAATTTACAAGCATTTTAAGTAGATAATACTATTTTGAACTCTGCATTCCTCATGTCAGGCAAAGTGAGGTAAAATACAGGACAATAAGATAAAAATAATGACATATTAAATAACAAAATAATACAAAAGCACCCAGAATAAAGAAGTTCTGAAGTATTATATAGTACAGTCTCAGTTTACTATGAACAACACTGATACATCTGGAGCTAAACCCTGAGATGCAGTTGTATAAAAAAAGAGTTAGTTGTTCAACTAACAATGTCTGTCTTTCAATGAATCATGCATAGAAACTTATCACACCGTTAACTGATAATGAACAAATGTTTCCTTTTTCCAATGTAGCTGAAGGCAATGTTCTTGCTAATACTGTCAGGTAAAGTAGGTAAATGGTGTTTAAGGTCCATTACACGTTAGTGCATCGAAATGTTCATATATCATCATTTTATTATGTTCACATTGCTCTATGAAATTTATTTGCAAAAACTATTGCTAAAATTAGCAAATTGTAAAACCTATTTAGGAAACACTAATAGATTTGTTAGATTTTTTAAATCCAACTTATCCAAATATCTTAAAAACTGTAAAGTGAGCAAACATCAAAACTAAAGGACCTTGGACCACAAAACCAGTCATAAGGGTCCATTTTTAAGGGCCAACAGAGAGTTATACATCATTGTTAGGATAGGAGGACAATATTTGGCTGAGATACAACTATTTGAAAATCTGGAATCTGATGTTGCAACAAAATCTAAATATTGAGAAAATCGCATTTAAAGTTGTCCAAATGAAGTTCTTAGCAATGCATATTACTAATCAAAAATTAAGTTTTGATATTTTTATGGTAGGAAATTTACAAAATATATTCATGGAACATGATCTTTACTTAATATCCTAATGATTTTTGGCATAAAAGGAAAATTGATCATTTTGACCCATACAATGTATTGTTGACTTTTGCTACAAATATACCTGTGCGACTTATGAATGGTTTTGTGGTGCAGGGTCACATTTACTCTTCTTCTGCGAATTTTTGCTGGAGAAATCCAGTAATTTCAATAGGATTCCACACAGATTTCACAACGGTTTCAATTTGGTCACAGATTCTTGGTTTGGAAGTGACTTCTGTGTAAACTGCGCTTCATACATTGCTACACTATTGACAATAGAACTTTTTGCACCCAAAATTTAGCTGAAATTTCACCAGTCTGACTGCAAGAGTCTGTGCATAAGAGGTTTTGGCTGAAATGCAAAAATGCCTTGCAAGCTCTTTGTTAAAATTAAGATTTTCAGAACAATTACAAAATATTAAAATATTCACAATCAAATATACCAACATTTTATAATTATCCAAACTTCACTCACAAACACACACACGCAGAACACAGCCTCTCATTCAGACTTGTATATTGGAGTATGTAGTGTTCTTAGTCAGTAGAGGCACTTTCAGGAATCCTAGGTTAATATGGATTTAGGCTTTGATGGTTTGGTTCATCTCTAGTGCATCCACAGCAGCGTTCTTCGTGTTGGGCTTGGAGCCTAGAGCTTCAGCTTCTTCTAAAGTTGAGGTGAGGGGCTGTCCCAGAGTTTCCGGCAGAAACATGGTCAGGATCCCGATGATGAAGGCCAGAATTCCCACAATGAGCTACAGAATAATAGAGAGCATAAGCTACCTTAGCATTGTTCAGTCCAGCAAATATATATCATGTTGTATCATGCTTCAGTTCTAGACCACACTGTACTAGATTAATTGAGTGCTGTTACATACCTGAGGCAGATAGATCCAGATGTCAGCAAGGTAAACACAGAAGGGAGCCACCACACTTCCCACCCGACACATCATACTACCACTGCCGACAGCCAGGGACCTGTTGGACCAGATATAGTGTCTGTTATTAAATCACTAGATAACATGCATGTATGTAATGCTCTTCCAGTCAACTTCAGATATGCCCAGTAAAGAAATTGATGAAATAGGTTGTTTCTAGGTTTATATGTATTGTAATGTTAAATATATTGTCAAAGAAATGTAACGGTACTGGATAAAACTGAAGTAGACCACAGCAGGGAGATTGAAAATGAGTAACTTACTTTGGTGCAGTTTAGTCAAGGCCAGTTATGATATTGTGTTGCAATTGTCACAGACTCTTATTTTTTTAGCTTCAGACTATGAATGTATCCAATTGGAGGATATCAAATGTATTTGAGCCAATTTTAGAACATATATTGTTATCTTTATAATGTATTTCCTAGCAAAAAGTGAATTTCTGCACGAGTTTGTTGTGTTTAGACTTGAACATCTAGTAGTATGTGAACCTCAGTCGTTTAGTGTATGATGCCCAGTTTTTCTCTGTGTGCATTCACAAAGTCAACAAGTGTATGACAACTATTTTAAAATCTGTCTAGATTTTAAAAATTTGTATAGTGTATTCCAGTCTTTAGTGTGGATGGCTACATATAGAGTATTAGAATAAGACATACCTGATGATTGTTGGGTAAAGCTCACAGGTGTACAAGTAAATCAGACCAAATGCAATGGCGATAGCGAATTTCCCTGTCATACTCAGGACTATAGCCAATATCTCAATATCCTGAAACAAAGAGAGAGAAACACAGAGTGAAACTATATTTATCAGCCACAATGTTTCAGCCATCAGCTGTTTGGAGAGTTTGCCAGTAGCAGGCCATAGTAGGGCTTCCTTAAATTCGGGATCAGACACAATTCTAAACGTCCCCAAGACATGTCCCCTTTGACCCCCTCTCAGAAGCCGCCAGCTGCCATATGTATAAACAGTCACTTAGATGACAGGTCTATTTATAGATGTTTGGAGCAACGATGGCTGTACTCACGCCACACTCGGCCATTTCAGTGTGTCAGCAGTGCAGCTATTAGTTATGAGGGGTGAGGTGATCCTGATGGAATATCAACTCACTAACACATTCTTCTTACCCTGTGCTTTCAGTGACCTGCTGGTAACCAAGGCTGTTTGGTACGGTGACCCAGTAATGCACAACACAACGAAATCTCCACAACACAAGGGAAACAAGCCGCAACACAATGAAATTAGCACAATACAATGGAAACAAGCTGCAAACACTACAAAAACAAGTCGCAACACACCAAAATTAGTCCTATGCGTTGTGTTGTGGTGATTTAGTTGTGTTGCCTGTAGTCTACTGGGCTACCGTAGTTTGGAGGCTAAGAAATGTGCTCCATTTATTTCATAAATGACATCCCTTCATTTCTTTGAAGTCATTCATACTGCTCCCTTTGATGACCTGTATTTTTAATCGGTGTATAAAGAGTGACAATTCAGTGAACAATAGAGTAATATTGAGTAACTTGAAGTCATATTAGAATAAATGTTTGCAGATCTCTGAACAACATACAGTAGTGGCGTTTTGATTCATAAACTTGTACACTTTTTTTTTCTGAATGAAACACTGACACACACAGTAAGGTTTGGGGCTTGTTGAGACCTGCACCACTGTGAATTCTCTGGCCAGTCCCACAAGAAAAGGAACAACAATATTGTTTTTGGCAGAACTGTATGTCCTAAGTAGCCTGAGTTCTTAAAAGCATTGTAATACCACAGATCCTACAAGGGAGTCACATGAGGTTCAACTCTATCTATCATGTCACTTGTGAGTGTGTCTAGGGACCAGACAGTAGGAATTAAACTAAAGAAAATAGAAGAACAGGGATATCATCTACACAAGCTTTTTCACTGCATTCCCATCCTCTAAATAGAAGAGATGGTGCTTTTAAAACCTTGTTGCTATACCAACACAGCTGCCAGTAATTTGTTGCAATAATTACATGGGCACTTTTTTTGGTATATGAGGTGGGATGTGTATGCCGTGACCAGTTGCTTGTCTTCAAAACTTCAAGACTTCAAGAAGATGAATTCGGATTGCATAAAATTAGGTAAATGTATTACTGTTGTTAAAAGCACTAAGAAAGTGTGTGCAAAAGGGTTTATCAAAAACAGAACGAGAGGCTCTGATGCAAACAGATGCCCAAGTTACCATGTGAAAGGCAAACATGTACACAAACACATGTCCACTCTTGCCAAGGTTAATCATTCATTTTAGTAATCACTTAGTTCCATCCAGAGGTAATGATAATGAAGCAATTTGGTTCTACACCTGTCAAACCAACTTAAATTTACAAGTTTGCCCAGATTAATATTTTCCACAATTTGTTACGATTTTGAAAAGCTAGTTTTTAAATGTTGTGGCTTTGCCATGGGAACTAAATACAATGCCATTTTTTGCTTCCTTGTTCCTTCCATATCTATAAGAGGCTCAGAATTAGGTTTGTTTCGATTTCTAAATAGCAAATATATTTAACAGTGTTTGTGTGTGTGTTTTAAAAACTTCAACTATCTTTAAAGTTGGCATAAAATTTTAATTCATTCTGTTTTGTAAAAACATGTAATAGGTATTATTTTGAAAAATTCATCCATTTAATTTTTTGAATGTGATATTTAATCAAAATGTTATAACTGGACCTTCAGTAAAAAAAGACTTCTTTTTTTATAGGACTTCTTCAATCATTTAGTCTGCCTAAACTCAGTCCCTGAAAGCTTACGTCCACCTGCTTTCAATGTTGAGTGCAACACCCACATCTAAATATCCAATCAACAACCGATGAAAGGAACCAAGACCCTGTCCTACTTTTTTCCATAATCCATTACACTCTGATTTACATCATAATATGGGAAGAAAAGATTTAACACTACTTCCGTTTCATTGTAACTTTAACGGTGTTATGCTATATCGCAGTGTGTATATAGTATATCACATGGATTCACACAGACATGATCTCATACCTGGGGCACCACAATAATGAGCATGCAAGCTACTCCACCAAGCAGCAGAGCCGGGGCACATGTCTTCTTCCTGCCGACCCGATCCATTGCAATGCAGCCAATCAAATATGACGGAACCTCAACAGCACCTAATAACAGTCAAATAACAGATAGTTAGCTTAAGTGCTGTTAACTTCTATACTACTGAAACTAAACTGCATATAGCTCAGCAGAAATGCTCAAATTCCAGCAATGCAATACATAAGGCATCATACTAGAAGTGTTTGCTGGTTTTTGTATCTCTTGGAGTAGCAACTTATTTTTGCTTTTGGAAATAGTTCCCCCCAGTTTTTTTTTTTTTTTTTGTTACTTTTAAAGCTTTCCGTTTTTTAAAGACAAGTGCACAAGCCACACTTATGATACTTTTACGATGCGTTTCCATCATGCATAAAAGCTACTTTCTCCATTCATTGTAAATGCATGGAAAAAACAAACAGTTCATTATTCTGAATTTGTCATCTTTTATGTAATGGAAAAAAGAAGTCCTTCCGTTTTGGAACAACATGAATGAACAATGACAGATTTTTGGGGGGAGAGGCGGTGACCGGTTTCATTTAAAGCATCAAAACCTTCTTGAGAATAAATGCTAGCACGTGCAAACATACACACATCAGTCCATTACCAGCCAGGAAGAGATTGATATACTGATTTCCTCCAAGGTTGACAGACCCCAGGCTGAAGACATAGTATCCCAAGCTTCCAATGAACCAGATAGCCCAGCAGGTGGCGCTGCGACCGGCCATTTTCAAGCTTCCAAACATATCCAGGATGCTTAGCCTCTTCTTGACTTGCATTGCTCTTCCATCTTCCTGCTTATTGTCGTTCAACAGTTCTCCATCACATTCATCCTTTAGCTCTGACACCTAAGGTCAGTGATAAATTTAAAGAATACAAAAGCTGTTAACAAGACCACTTTTTCCCAAATCCATGACTTTCCAAAACTGTTCTTCTTATCATTCAAATAAGCACTTAGAATATTATAATATAATGTTTACTGTGTCTCACAGCATTTCACACTGATCCACGTTTTGTCATTTCTCTGTGTGAAAAATATGTCCTTGCAAATGTTTGCAACAGATTTTTGGCAGCAATTGCTTTGTGACCATTTTTTTTTTAGTTTTGAGATGCTTCTTTTAATTTGCATTTCAATTTATGTTACCTCTTTATTTTTGCATGTCACTTTTCTTTCCATTTCCCTGGTAACACTTTAGAATAATGGTCCGTTGTTAACAAGTAACTAGGAAGTAATAGGTAGTACTACATTAACACTTAACTTAATACTATTAACCAATAGAGAAGCTAGATTAACTAAGCAGTAAGTAGTAGCAAATTTAGGACAAAGGTAGTTACTTATTAGATATTTGATAATTACTAAAAAAATATATCCTCATTGAGAACTATTTGCGAACCATAATCCATTAATAAAAATAATAACCAATTAATTACTAATCACAACAATAACGTCTTAAAAGTGAACAATTGGGTTCTTTGTGGAAACTAATTATGAATATGATATCCCCCAAATAAGTCGGCTACAGGTTGAAATTGTGACTACTACTCTTACCAAAGGATGGATGTTCTCTGTGTTACCATTTCCCTTATTTGGGTGTTTAGTAAAGCTGTTTCATCAGTCCAAGTATGGAACTACTAGTGTCTCATAATCTAAGGTCACGGTAGAAAAGCATATTCTGAAAAGGGTATAATTCATGGCAGGAACAGTTTCAATGTGTTGTCAGTGTGAGTCTACCTTAAGGGTGGGTGGCAGGCTATTGAAGTAAGCCATAGTGTCCAGCAGCTCCTGGGCCTCCTTGTACCGGCCTTTAGCCATTAGGTAGAAAGGTGTTTCTGGAAACTTCCAGCAGTAGAGCAAGAACGGAGAGGTACTGAGGGTGAGGATGATCTGGTAGATCCACCAGACGCGAACAAGGTAGCCCACTAGAGCCACTACCATGATGCCCACAGCAAAGGCTGCATGCACATGCATAGAGGTCCATGTGCGCACCTTAATTCCTGTAAACTCCGTCACATACACAAAGACTACAACCAGATACCCGCTCGACACCTGCCAACACACCCATACACCCACACACACATGCACACAGAGAGAAATAAACAATGATTAAAATAAATGAGCAGAGAGAGTCAGATGGAAGCAGTGAGGATGGCAATTAATTATTTGCTTTCCTGACAATTTTTTCTCTTTCCTTTCACTTCCCCCCCCAGGAAGTTCTTAAAGTTATTTTATCAAACATTGTGGTGAAATGCATTAGCAATCTATCCCCTTTTGGCAATCAGGCACAGCTAATCCGTAATTAAATGGAAAATCCGGGTTTAAATCGCACTCAAATTGATTTGATTTTGACGCAATATTTACACTGAAGCTCACAGGCGGCTATGGTAAGGGGCATGACATTTCCCGACCATGCGCCGAGTGCTGCCAATCACAGCACACACTGGCCCAGCTAACCAATCACAGCACATTTCGTATTTCAGTAGGCGGGCCTTCATTTGATACAGGAACTATTCGAGCTGTTAAAAGAGCATAATAGGACCCCTTTAATGTTAACAACATCAGCGTTGCATGACTATGTGTATATAGTGTGTATTAGTGTTACCTGTAGATTTAATTTCTGTACAGTCTAATCTCTAATTGTCATACCATTCGAATTTCATATGAAGAAATTGTTCTTTTAACCCAAAAAGCAAATTAATGTTCCTTCACTCTAAAAAATGCTGAGTTAAATAGAACCCAGTGCTGGGTAAAATATGGACAAACCCAGCAATTGGGTTGTTCTGACCCAACAACTGGGTTAAATGTTTAACCCAGCTGCTGTGTGAAAAGGCTATAAATCATCCGCCACCTGAAGCATCCTCACATGCGATATAGCCTACTAGTCGGGACTCCTTCTACACTGAAAAAAGTGTTTCATTCATCCAATTAAAAAAATGTAGGGTAATGAATCACATCTATATTATATACACAGTGAATATGTTTAGAGACGTGACGTAATGACGCAAAGAAGAACTGCGGCATGCTCGAATTTCCAGCAAAAACCTACCAGTATTAGAAAACATTACCGTTGTGAATCGGACTAAGGTAAGGAGATAGTTTTGAACAATGGCTGGTTATGTACTTGCTCAAAAATTGACAATTTTTAACCAAAAAAAGTTACGGACTGCAGCTTTAAGAAGAATATATGCACTGTATATTTATATATAATATAAATCATATATAAATAATAATTAAAAAAAAATATATATATATACAGTATATATATGTAAATATTTATTAAATATATACATGTATGCTTGTGTATTTACATATACATATAAATACACATATCATGTAAACACAAGCTTTTATTTTGGATGCAATTAATCGTGATTTATCGATTTGACAGCTCTAAAATATTCAGAATATGGACCAATCCACTTACCATTGCAAGAAGGAAACGCATCAACACAAAGAGGTAGTAGTTCCCTGTGAATGCAACAGTGACCCCAAAAATAAACTGGCACAAGCTGGTAGCCATCAAAATGGGGCGCCTGCCAATTCTGGAAAAAGGAAAAGCAAAAATATACACATTATAAATGTTTTCAATTACCTACAGAAACATGTATGTAGCCATAGACAAATAGCTTTATTTAAACGTTTGGTTTATAAACTTTATATTCATTTCAACTGAAGCATGAAAAGAGACTGGTTGTACCATTCAGTCAATTGCCAGTTCATGGTAGAAAGATTCACTATTTACAATTTGATATTTATGTGTGAACAGCTGTTTAAGTACAAACAAGGTAACTGTATTAAAGCAAACCAATGGACCGTTTTTTTTGCATACAAAGGGTTGCCGTGAATTTGCCAAGCAAGACATGTTCCTGGATCAACATCTTTTGTTGATCCTGGATCAACATTACTGTCCAAAAATACAGACTTAACCCAATCCCCACCCCTAAACCTAACCTTACCCATAATTTATTCCTAAAATCAGAGGGAAATGATAGCTGATTAACAAGGGTGGAGAAGCACCTAATCCTGATTGTAAGCCTAAAACTGACATTTCCTGAAAAGTTCTCTCAACTCTGATTGGTTGATTGGAATGATGTTCCAGGATCAACAAGGATGTTGATCCAGGAACATGTTGTACTTGGTCAAATCACGCTCACCGCTCACTTATGTACACCAGCATGACTTCACCTTTGACCATTCTATTGGATTCCATTCCTATGCATTCATTTAAATCTTTAAATCGGTAGTAATATGGATAAACATTCCCAGAACAAAATAATACTCTTCTACTGTTGTACAACCATGACCAATCTGACGATGTACAAACAGACAGTAGTAGCTCCAGTTCTCTGTTGTCTAGTATTGAAATGAGCAGTGATTCTGTCTTTATGGAATGTGAACCTGTGATATCCTGTTTATGTGCAGCCATGCAGTGTCTGCATGTCTCACATCCTGTGCAGTTCTCTCTTAGTTTTCTTATTGCAGAATCAAATATTTGCCAATTGTAAACCATCTTGCCATATTAAATGTTCAGGTATAATGTGGATACAGTGCACTTGTCTTGTCACGCTCCATAATCATGATTTATGTGCACTGTTCTGTCAACAGCTACTGTGTAATAATACCTTGACAATCCATTTCTGGAATCTCATTCCCTTAATTAGTTGCCTAACCATGTTTTTTTTTTTGTCCTAAATAAATAGCCTATTTCAACCCATAGGGTAACTTTTATTCACATTTAACCATATTAAACTATTACATTTTCAGTAATGAAAGTATTTATTTTTGTTCATTGATTTCTCTGAATACATTTGAGATGTGCATTTAAGTGGTTGTGTAAACAAATGCAACACAGACAACTTACCTGTCTGCGACGTCCCCAAACACCAATGCTCCAATCAAAACTCCCAGCATAAAAGTTGGCTGTGCAAGCTTGGCCAGCCATTCCTTCTCACACACCAGGTCATAGTCTGTTACGATGCTCTGCTCAACCTCGCTGTGATCATAGACAAAGCCACCACATGACTCTACAGTCTTGTTCCCAAAAAACTCGTATTTAAAATTGATGGCATCAAGTCGCAGCACTTTTAAACAAGGACTAAGTTCCCACTGGTCTCCTCCAGCTGTCCGTACAACCACTGGTCCATCACCTGGCTTGTAGTGAGTCCATATATCTGCCAGCGACGTTGAAGAGTGATTTCTATATAGAATGTCTGTGATATTTGAAGGAGCGTCACATAGAAATTTAGGGGTTTGAACTAAGAAAACCGAGGCCAGGTAATGTATTCCACAGGAGATGGCCTGGAAAATAGCAGCAAAGTAAAGACATGCTTGAAACCTGAAGAGAAAGAAGGATCAAATGGAAGTTAATTAATCAAATGACATCAATTTTTAAATAAACTATTCATTGATGTCTATAAAGCGAGCCAAACTATTGTAAGATTAAGGACAAATATTTTGCAAATATTGACATGCAGGCAATAAAAATCTGTTTATATTTTTTACATTGTAGTGTCAGTTAATTTTATGGTAAAAACACAGCTGCGGTTTCCAGAATATTTACAGTTGTGATATCCTGTTTAACATAGGCTACTGTACAATATTTTTTCATAAAACTGTATATGCATTTGGCTACCTTCTCCGTAAATTATAAGACAATATATTTTTTTATTTTACTTCTAAAACATTTTTTAAACGTAGTAATGTCTTTTAAAATAAAATATCCGATATAGTAAGGTAACCTACAGTTTTTGTTAACTTAAAAATACGAACTTTTATACTTGATTGGAATGATGTTCCAGGATCAACAAGGATGTTGATCCAGGAACATGTTGTACTTGGTCAAATCACGCTCACCGCTCACTTATGTACACCAGCATGACTTCACCTTTGACCATTCTATTGGATTCCATTCCTATGCATTCATTTAAATCTTTAAATCGGTAGTAATATGGATAAACATTCCCAGAACAAAATAATACTCTTCTACTGTTGTACAACCATGACCAATCTGATGATAAACATGTACAAATACACAGTAGTTGCTCCAGTTCTCTGCTGTCTAGAATTGAAATGAACAGTCATTCTGTCTTTATGGAATGTGAACCTGTGATATTCTGTTGATGTGCAGCCATGCAGTGTCTGCATTTCTCACATCCTGTACAGTTCTCTCTGTGCTCTTAGTTATCTTAAAGGGGTCAGCTCTCTCTCGCGCTCTCTCGCTCTCTCTCTCCCGCTCTCTCTCTCGCGCTCTCTCTCTCTCGCTCTCTCTCTCTCACTCGCTCGCTCGCACACACACACACACACACACACGATGCGCAAACAATCAGCTTGTAACACTCCAAAGAGAAAGGAGAACTTGAAATCGCATCATATGACCCCTTTAATGCAGAATCAAATATTTGCCAATTGTAAACCATCTTGCCATATTAAATGTTCAGGTATAATGTGGCCACAGCATATAGAGTTCCCTTGTCTTGTCACACTCCATAATCATGATTTCTGTGCATTGATCTGTCAACAACTACTGTGTAATAATACATTGACAATCCATTTCTGGACTTAACAACTGGATAAATCCCTTTAATTAGATGCCTAACCATGCTGTTGTATAACAAATAATGCTTTTTTGTCCTAAATAACTATTCAATCCTGTTTGTGCTGACCGTCCTATGTTCTTGCAAGCCTATTTCAACCCCTAGGGTAACTTTTATTCACTGAATACATACCATATTAAACTATTAAATTTTCACTGATGAAAGTATCTGTTCTTTTGTTCATTGATTTATCTGAATACATTTGAGATGTGTTTTATATGCAATTAAGTGGTTGTTGTGGAGACAAATGCAACAGACAATTTACCTGTCTGCGACGTCCCCAAACACCAATGCTCCAATCAAAACTCCCAGCATAAAAGTTGGCTGTGCAAGCTTGGCCAGCCATTCCTTCTCACACACCAGGTCATAGTCTGTTACGATGCTCTGCTCAACCTCGCTGTGATCATAGACAAAGCCACCACATGACTCCACAGTCTTGTTCCCAAAAAACTCGTATTGAAAGTTGATGGCATCAAGCCGCAGAGCTTTTAAACAAGGACTAAGTTCCCACTGGTCTCCTCCAGCTGTCTGTACAACCACTGGTCCATCACCTGGCTTGTAGTGAGTCCATATATCTGCCAACGACGTCGATGAGTGATTCCTATATAGAACGTTTGTGATATTTGAAGGAGAGTCACAAAGAAATTTAGGTGTTTCAACTAAGAAAACCGAGGCCAGGTAATGTATTCCACAAGAGATGGCCTGGAAAATAGCCGCAAAGTAAAGACATGCCTGAAACCTGAAGGGAAAGGAGGATCAAATGAAAGTTAGTTATTGACAGGAAAGCACACATCATCGAATATCAATTTTTAAATAAAATATTCATTGATGTCTGTAAAGCAGGTCAAACAATAATTGTAAGAAGGACTCATATTTTGCAAATATTGGCATGCAGGCAATTGAAGTTTGTTTGCATTTTTACATTGCAGTGTCAGTGAATTTTACACTGGTCTTCCAGAACATTTACAGTTGTGATATCCTTTTTAACATATTGTGAAACATTTTTCATAAAAATAGATACGTTACCTTCTCCATAAGACAATGTATAACTTTTTTCTTTTTACTTCTAAAACATTTTTTAAAAGCTTGGTAATCTTTTAAAATAAAATATCCGATATAGCAAGGTAACCTTCAGTTTTTTGTTAACTTAACATTACGAACATTTTTTACATTGTACAGGATTGGATAGGCTATTCTTTTACGTCACGTTTCTAATAAATTGACATCAAGAGCACATGCGAGCTACGGGTATTTATCAAACGCCACCAGTGGTGGACGAAGTACACAAATCAAGTACTTGAGTAAAAGTACAGATACGTATAATAAAATATTACTCCAGTAAAAGTAAAAGTACTCCTTTTTCAATTTTACTCGAGTGAAAGTACATAAAAAATCGAATACTTTTGTACTTTCACTCGAGTAAAATTGAAAAAGGAGTACTTTTACTTTTACTGGAGTAATATTTTATTATACGTATCTGTA